CAACAATAAACCATAGTAAACAACAATAAACCATAGTAAACAACAATAAACCATAGTAAACAACAATAAACCATAATAAAGAACATTAAAAATAGCATCAGAGCTGCTCAGGCTGTTTGTCTCTGAACTGTTTATTAGTAGATTTAAATGAAACAAACAGGTCTGTCCTGTAATGACATCTTATCTCAATGAGACAATCTGTGTAATTAAAGGTTCAGACCAAATCAAACTAAATGAACACATGTCAGCTTGTATTAATGCACAACTTTGTGTCTTTGTTCAGACTGTCACAGCAACACAMAAATACCATCGTTATCCTCAGAACAGGACTTTAGAAGCTGTTGAGTCTCCAGGGTCAATCTGTTTCACTCCAGGTTATTTCTTTTCCAAGCTGCCTGACAAAAACACCTCAGTGAACCTGAAGGGCTCGACACACAGGAGGCGACAACCGCTCCTCCTCCTCCAGCCAAGCGACCGGTGAAAATCCTGCATGTGGAATTTTGCGTACGTAGATGTGCACACGTGAGCTTGTGACACAACATAAAGCCCCTCCCCTCCCCCTGAGGGAGGCTGCTGTTTGTGCACCCTGCTGGAGCTCAGGACAGAACATCCTGCAGTCGTTTACAGGAAGTGTTGCAGCTCAACACAACATGACAAACAGAAAAACAGAAAGGAGAAAGAACTAAACGTGACTTTCAATCATCTGTAAAAGCAGGAACCATCAGTCAGTGAAGGAGCTGAAGGGTCCTCGCTTTCTTTTCTTGTTTTAGGCACAAGCTGTTCTTCCTCAGCCCACAGACAGGATGATGACATTTACTGACTAAAACCTGTTTTCCTGTCAGAAACAGCTGAAGTAAAACACAACAGAATCTGTTCTTACCTCTTCAGCTCCTGGATTTTATAAATGACTGTTAAGGTTGTGTTCTGCCTGCTGCTTTCAACGAGCAGCTCATCTTCTGACAGTTTGAATTCTACCTGAAACAGAAAATAAGGCTTTAAATCATGACGTCTCTCATTAACAGGTGTATTTAAATAAACTTTATTTCCTGTAAAACCTGAACAGGAAGCTGATCACCTGRAGTTTATACAGTTTGGAGTAAAGCTGAGGAGTTTGTGTCTTAATGAAGTTTTCTGTAACTCGAGCTAAACGTGCAGCCTCCTCCACCTGTCCGGAGTCGACGAGGCATCGGACCAGGTGTCTGCACAGAAACACGGTCCAACCGGGTCAGAACAACAGCGTCCAGTTCACCTGACTGCTGCAATTAGAGTCTGGGTCTGGGAGACCCTTACAGGCCGAGTTCAGCCCTCCAGCTGTGGTCCGGGTCCGACACCTCCTCCAGGCTCTGCAGCACCTGCTTTAAGGAGGGGACCAGGTGGCAGCACCGGCCCGGCTGCAGGAGAGGACGCACCGTGTGGAGGTACAGCACCGAGGCATTGAACACCATGAAGTGAAGTCTGGAACACAGAGAGGGTCCGGTCAGGGTCAGGGTCAGGGTCACACAGGTTCTGCTAACGGATCCACTGGAGAGTGGGTTCAACGTGGATGTGTTAGATATGAGCTCCCTGTGGTGTTCATTCAACATGTGGTGCACATGTTTCTGCACATGTTTCTGCACATGTTTCTGCACATGTTTCTGCACATATAACAACTTCTGTTGTTTCATCTGTATTAAGGGCTCGACACACGGGAGTAGGGGTGTAAGAAAATATCGATACACTGAAATATCGCGATATTTCATTTCCA